TTCAAAGGGGGAAGTGAAGCCTAGAGGCTTGATGTCCGACTTTAGGGGCTAGATTGATTCCTCAGGAAGTTTCAGTTAAAGTAATAAATACACTCCTGAATGTATTTTCTTTATTGCTTAAACCAATGAGAGCTTTTTGTCACAGACTACTTAGCGTCTTGATCACTGGTAGTAAAAAAAAAAAAAAAAAAAAAAAAAAAAAAGAAGTAGGTTAATCATGCTGATGAAGTTCCTAGGTTGCAGCCAGACAAGGGAGCCTGAATACTTTTCCTAGGTTGAATGTTTCAGTTTTAGTCTAGAGGAAGTCCTTTTTTACATTCAATCTTCTCTAGTACATACATCTTCAAAATGACCTTTGCCCCCTTTAATGATTTCATTGTCCTTTTAGTTACCTATGACTCCTCACATTCTGTGTTTAATTATTTACCAAGACCTGATGAAAATCCCGTGATTTTTCTGCTCAGTCCTCTGCCACGGTTTGAGTATTTCCCACAGGTCAGTTTACAACCCCCCCCATATTCTCTCCAGGGAGGGGGGAAAACTTTTCTTTTTCTCCAACTTTAACATTCTTTGTTTCCATCAAACAAAAACTTTGTCTCAGAATTTCATAAATCTTAAATCTAGGTTCCCAATTCTAAACTATTGCCTTAAACACCACATTTGTTAGTTGTGTGTCCTCTCAACTCCCATGTGCCTTGCCCTTGCTGTTGTTTAAACTGTTTCCAATTGTCTTTTCAGCTGATTTCCCCGTGAAGTTCTTCATCTGTAAAATGAGGATAACAGTTTCAGCTCATAGGACAATTAGAGGCAATTGTGTATTAACACTATCTGCTATGTAAATTACATGTCAAGTATTGGCCACTTCAATTTTTTGTAATTAAAATTTAATTACATCATCTACCCCCTTCCCTTTCTTCCCTGCAGTCCTTCCCATGATCCACACCTTGCTCTCTCTCAAACTCATGGCCTCTATTTCTCTAATTTGTGTTATGTGTATACATTCCTAAATATATAAATACAGCCTACTTAGTTTGTATAATGTTACCCATATGGATATGATTTCAGGGCTCTTGACACTTGATATTGGATAACCAGTTTAGGGGCTCTTCTCTGGGAAGGCTGTTTTTCCCCAATTTTAGCATTCCTTAGTTGCCTGTAGTTTTTTGTCAAGGGTTGAGGCCCCATGAGATTTACCCCTTCTGTATTAGCATGTCTATTGGTGTCTTGTTTAGGCAGTCATATTGTTGAGACTTCACAGGTGCAGTTTCTTTGACATTTCTAGGAAACTGGCACAGCAAATTTCCTGTTCTGTTTCTTATCATCTTTCTGCCTCCTCTTCCACTAGGATTCCCGAAACTTAGGTACATACTTATAACCCTAGCACCAAGGAGGTCAAGACAGAAGCAACCTAGGTTACTTCTGTCCAGAAGTCCTAGGTTACAGGTCCAGCAGGACCGTCTTTAAAAAAAAAAAAAAAGTGAGAGAAATCACACTGTATTCCTTATAAAACTTCTATTTGTAGTTCGTCTGAATGCTTAATCATAGCCACAATCCCCTATTGATCTGCTCCATGTCTGCCCTCCAACCTCATGGCCTGCCATTTGCTCCTGTGACTTTCCAGAAACATCAGTTCCTTGCTAATCACCACCCACTTTCAGGCTTTGACAGAGGCTCTGCTGTGAGCCCTTGCCTGCTTGTTGCTGTACCTGTTCTTAAGCCCGCCTCCTCAACTTTCATGTGTCAAAAAGATCTTGATATGTTATTTAAGTATTCCTACTCTTCTTCCACCTCCATGGTACCCACAGCTTCTCTATTTACTGTTTCTCCCATAATACTTCTTAGTTGCATATATATTTGTTTAATGTTCAATATCTCATTTATTAACCATCTCCCCTCCCAGATAATATACTTAAAGAGGGAAGGAACCATGTGTTCCTTTTTATTTACAGCATTTATTTCAATATCTGAGGTGAATAAATGATTGAGTGAATGAGATTAGAGATGCTAGAAAGATTTTTATGTCCCCAACTATAATTGGAGGCAGAATGTCAAGAAGTAGCTCTAGAAATTTTTATAAACATATAAAGGAGAGATAAACTGAGTTCATTGGGGAAGATCATGTGACTAGTATTGTTGTCCTAGTATTTGAGAATCCAGAAGAATGTGGAACACTATTATAGAATTATCTGTATAAGAACATGAGACGATAATAAAGTTACCATCTATATAAGAATGTGTGTCGCTGTAAATAGATAAAGCTACCACCTGTGTAGGAGTATTCAACTCTGGAATAGATAAGTTACTGTATGTATGAATGTGACACTGATTGAGAAAGCTGCCACCTTTATAATATGTGTAACACTGTTATAGAGGATGTTGCCACCAACCAGTATATGATGCTAAGTGAAGTCCAAAGTAGGGAGCAAATAGCATCAAGTATCTCATCTTCTAAATAACTACTAATATTTGATGGCAGAAACCTGCTCCTTCAGCCATGGTCAAAGTTGTGAAAAGTGGATCTTCGATGGCCATCTCTAACTTCACACTCAAGCATGTCACGTAAGAAGAGTATGGAATACTTGGAAGCATCATTCATTGAAACCATGTTGCACTGTGGCTGCCTCCTCTTCTTCATCCTCGCGTGTGTGTGTGTGTGTGTGTGTGTGTGTGTGTGTGTGTGTGTGTGGAATAAGAAACAAAAAAAAACTCTACCCCTCAACTACATCTCCAGCTATTGGCTCTTTCTAAGACAAGTCTCAATAAAGTATGTAGCCCAGGTTGCCCTCAAACTTGTGTTATTACTCTATCCCTGAAGCCATATCTCCTTGATTTCCTAGTGAGTGCTGTCTTAACCTTTTCATTCCATGTTAAGTGACTAAGGCTTCAATAGCATCAAATTGAAGTTGTCACTAAACTCTAAGAGTCCAAAGGGAGGCTGAAATTTCATCCTTGGCAGATTTATCTATCTTGGCAGAGACTCTAAGAGAAACCACTGGCCAGAGGTGGGTCGAACTAAATCAAAGCACACATCCCCACCATTTTGATATGGTCAGGGTGTGATATTTCTTGGGATTTGACTGGCTGAAAGTACTGTCTGGGCTTGAACCATTTTAACACACAGAGAGAAAGGAAATTCTAACTGCAAGACTAGGTATACTTCTGCAAGGGGTAGGGGTGCAGCTAAGAGCAGAGATGGGGCTAAACCTGATCTGTGTTCATGTTGAACACAGGACTGTGCTATGGGAGGCTGACCCAGTTTCTAGGAGAACTCAGCATGCCTCATTAATGAACAAGTTCTTGGATGCAATATGGATTTTAGGCAATCTAAATGGACCAAGGAAGAGAAGAAAACTAACAGGCTATAACATAACCCCATTATAAGAGTCCAGTCTTGGCTATATAGCTATACCCTATCTTAAAGCAGTATCTTCCATCTTCAGAGTTCCTTGAATTCAGTTCTGACTTGGAACTGAAACTTGAGTTTCAACTTGGATAGATTTAATGACCCAGTGTGGGGAGAGGTGAACACACTCAAGCTTTAAGGGATTTGCTGCATAGTGCTCCTGGAATTTTAATGCACATGCCAATCACCTAGGCATCTCATTAAAGTGAAAATTCAACCCAGTTAGTTTGGATAGGGCCAGAGTTGATGCACTTTTAACAAATTTCCTGGAAATGCCCATAACACTACAAGGAAATTTGAATAAGACAATGTAAGTAGAGGAAGAGATTTCAATAGTACACAGTTGTCAAGGATAACTAAAAATATGAGAATGAAATAGAAAGTGTCTCCTTTCATAAGTCACAATTATTGTATATTGGGCAGTTAAAAACTGTCAAATTTCTACCCTATCAAATTGTTCAATATACTGAAGAATATTACATATCAATTTTCTCACAGACTGGCAAATACCTAGGTCCTACTGGAATGACAAATGTATTTATGAAATAGCAAGGCTTATAATCACGAGTCTCTGCTGGAAGAATGTGTATACATCTTGTGGAAAGGTGAGACTGAACTCACAATCATCCTGTTCTAATATACTACAATTGTATGGGGTTTTTTACAAATGCCACTTTTCAGAACTGTGTTTGTGAACAAACTGCCATTAGTGGATTGATCAGAGTCAAGAAGGAAAAGTTTATCTTT